CTGTCCACCTCTGTGGGCCGCCGCTGGGCCTGAATGTCTCTGCCAGCTGCCGCCGGGCCTGAATGTCCCCTTCGGCCGCCGCCGGGCCCGTCCACCTCCACGGGCCGCCACCACAGGCCTACCTGCGTCTGCTTGTCTCCGCCATCTTGTATTTTGCATTTTTTAAAAAGATTTATTTATTTTATGTATATGAGTGCTCTATCTGCATGTATACCTTTATACCAAAGACAGTATCTGATCCCACCTTAGATGGTTGTGAGGCACCATGTGGTTGCTGGGAATTGAACTCAGGACCTCTGGAAGAGCAGCCAGTATCCTTAACTGCTGAGCCATCTCTCCATGCTCCCCTCCCCCGACTTCTCACTTCTTGAGAAGACCTTTTCCCTTGAGTGGTGAGGGGGATAGTTAAAAGGACAATTTGCTAATCTGTTCAACTTTAGAACCAATGAGCACAGTAGCCAGAGTCCCTTCACCAGGAAGGCTGGGATACCTAAAGGTCCTTCCCAGGCTTGGCTGTGTGCCCAGGGACAGCAGCCATGAAGAGAGCAGGATGCACCTTTCATCCATCGGCCTGAAGGAGAAGGTTGATGAGAAGCAAATAGATCTGTCTAGAGCCAAAGGACTACAAGGAAGGCTAGCAACAGGGCGCAAGTAGATTTAGGAGGCTGAGTATTCCAGAAGGATCTCTGAAAATTATCTATAAAGGAGGAACAGAACTTGAAGACCATTGTCAAAGCCACTCACTTGGACATAAGTAGTTTACATAGCAATGGCCTTCCCTTTTATGGAGTGGAGGTGGTAGTATAGCATGGCAATAATGGGAGTTAGACTTTCAAAACATGCACTGTAAGGAGGTAAAAGAATTGCGTTCATATACTTAAAAGCGTTTATTAAGGTCCTATATGCTTATGAAATAGGAGGTGGTAATACATGATTATCACATGAATGAATAAATAGACCATTATAGGCTAGTGCAGCTGGAGGTGGCTTTTAATGTAATGAAGTGTTATGCCTAATTATAGGAAAGCACTGCGTGTAAATTTTTAATCATGATGCTAAAGATGGCTCTTGGAATTAAGCACATACTCTTTGATTTTAAGAGTGGCTTTGAAATAGCTGACTTTTTGACCTTCAGTTGACCCTTCTATGGGTGTCAATGCATCCATCAAGTCAGGAAGTCCACCTTTACGATGAACATTTAAAAAGTAATAAATGAGTCTCATTGGAGACATATCCCAGTGGTCCTAGCTACTTAGAAGATGAGACTCAGTGAGTCCAAGACCAACCTGGATAATATAGTGAGATTCCGTCTCCAAATAAACAAAACATTCTGAACTTAAAAGAGCTTCATAGATCCTTTGCTTTAAAAAAAAAAAGATTTATTATTTAGTTTTTTTGAGACATGATTTCTCTATGTTAACAGTTCTAGCTATCCTGGAACTCTCTTTTTGTAGATCAGGCTAGCCTTGAACTCACAGATCTGCCTGCCTCTGCCTCCTGAGTGCTGGGATTAAAGGTGTGAGCTATCACCACCTGGCAAGATTTATTTTTATTAATGTGTCTGGGTATGTGTATGTGTGTGGATGTCTGGAGATCAAAGAAGGGTATAGGATCCCCTAGAGCTGGAGTTAAAGCAGTCGGGGGAGGGCACTCAGTGTGGGAGCTGGGAATTGAATTCAGGACCTCTAGAAGAACAGCAAGCACTTTTACCCACTGAGTCATCTCTCCAGCCCTCATGGTCTTTTATTTTTTGAACTATTTGTACTGATCTTAGTAACTATTAACATATAACCTGAATTAGTAGACAGAATGAAAAACTTCGTGGCTGAGATCTTATATGACAGCCTTGTCACTTAAAATGGAACTAAATTATTATGCCCCAAACCAACTTGTCTTTACCGTTCATATTTGATTACTAGCATCCAGAAAGCAGTGGGTCACTGCAAAAACCATTAAAACTGTGTCTGTTGTACTGTATTATATAGTTATATATGCACACAATTTTCCCCAAGGCCTATTCTCTGCTCAAGAGGGAAATTTACTGTGTCTAAAAATTCAGTCTCTGAACATTTTAGACACAGTTCCCTTTTTGCTGATATGTTTACAGTGTCTTTGAACAGAAAACAGGAAGGATTACAATCTGCTTCCTTAAATAATGACATGGCAAAACGTGACAGGAAAAACAAACAATTCTAAGTTAGTTAAGAAACTCCGTTTCTTAAATCAGTAACAGACACGATTTAGGTTAATTTGTTACAGCAAAGCATGGTAGTTTGCCTCACAGTTATCACATAATGTGCCGTGTTTGACCTTTCACAGCCAAAATGCATGGCAAGCTGGACATAGCAGTGCCATGGTGGGGGCAGGGTTTTCTTTTGCCTTTCCAAGAGAACGAAGGCATCCAACTAAGGAATCTGAAGACCACTGGACAAATGGGACATGTGAAGAAAAAGGACAAATCATCCAGAAAAAAAAAATGTCTCAAGAAAAGGAGTAAATTGGCCTATTGGTATATCACATCTCCAACAGGATAAAATTTCATAAATCTTCCTAAATGTTTGTTTCTGCTGTTCGCTACAGACATATAATGCAAATGGTCTCTTTGTAGCCCCAATGCAATTAAAAATTAAAGCTGGCTTTGGAGTTGGAGTTTGGCTCTCTCATTCTCTAAACCCAAGCATTCTTGTTAAAAGGAAATTGTCCTTTGAGTCAGGATCTTTCCCTAAAGCTAGCAATCTGCAATCTGGTCCTCTCACAGGGGAAAGAACCCAAACTGCATTGCACTGTGTTGTTGACATTAGTTTAATATGGTGTTTTAACTGTTCACATCCCACTATGTGTTCAAAATGACCATCAGTGAGTGTACAGAGCTAGTCAACACTTTCTCATAAGATAGGTATGTATTGGGTGACTTGGCCCATCCCTGTCTAGGTCTTGTGATAACAGGTAGGACTGGTGTGTAAAAAGCATCTTCAAGGGACTGGTAAGATGACCCATGGGATGAAGATGTCTGCTATCAAGCCTGATGACCTGACTTTGAGTTTGATCCCTGGGACTCACATGGCAGAGAGGATCAACTCCTGAGAGCTGGTCCTCAGACCTCCACGTGCACACTGATGTTCCCGACCCCATTTTATTTTTCTTAAGATTTATTAGTTTTATTATTTGCGTGTATGAATGTTTTACCTGCATGTATGCAGATGTGTGTGCACCACGTGCATGCCTGGTGTCCTCGGAGGTCACAAGAGTGTGTCAGATCCCCTAGGTCTAGAGCTACAGATAGCTGTAAGCCAACATTTGGGTGCTGGGAATAGAAGAACCCAGGCCCTCTGCGAGAGCAACAAGTGTTCCTAACTTCTGAAACACCTCTCTAGCCCTCTCCCATTTTAAAAATATCATAAAAGAAATAAAGCATCTTTGAAGGCTGGGCAGTGCTCACCTAGTTTGTTTTAAAAAAAAAAGTCTTTCTAGTGGCTGCTGCTCTGCTTCTCTCATCTTTCCGCTTCACCCTGATATCTGACTCCAGGTTTTTATTATTAAAACCAATTAAAATTTGCACTACAGTCATGCTTATCATTTCAGCACTCAAGAGGCTGATGGAGGAGGATCACCTTTGAGTTTGCAATTAGCCTGGACTATCTAGTAAGTATTGGGTCAACCTGAACTACAAAGCTACAAAGCAAGACTCCTGGTCCTCAAGTGTGTGCCACTCTGTTCAACTGTATTTTGTTGTTGTTTTTTGGGGGAGTTGAGATAAGGTATGTAGCCCAGGCTTGCCTAGAACTTACTAGGAAACCCAGTCTGGCTTTGTCTTTATGTATTTGGGTGTTTTCATGTATGCACACATGTATGTCTGCATACTAGAAGATGGTATTGCCAGGAAGTGGTGGCACATGCCTTTAATCCCTGCTCTTGGGTGTCAGAGGCAGGTCAATCTCTGAGTTTGAGGCCAGCCTGATGAGTTCTAGGAAAGCCTGAGCTATTATATAAAGAAACCCAGTCTCTAATGCCTGGGGGGCACTCACCAACCTAAGACAGAGCACCTGTGTGGCCTGGGCAGACATCTCCATGACAGGTAAGGTGACCTGCTGTGGGATGGTCTGTATGTCTGTATGCTCTGATTGGTCAATAAATAAAACACTGATGGCCAGTGACCAGGCAGGAAGTAGGTTTCCAGACAGGAAGTAGATGGGACAAGGAGAGAGGAGAATTCTGGGAAGCGGAAGGCTGAGGAGGGAGACACTGCAGCCACCGCCAGTAGAAGCAGCATGTAAAGACGCCGGTAAGCCACCAGCCACGTGGCAAGGTATAGATTTATAGAAATGGGTTAATTTAAGATAAAAGAACAGTTAGCAAGAAGCCTGCCACGGCCATACAGTTTGTAAGCAATATAAGTCTCTGTGTTTACTTGGTTGGGTCTAAGCGGCTGTGGGACTGGCGGGTGACAAAGACTTGCCCTGACTGTGGGCAAGGCGGGAAAACTCTAGCAACAGTGACCTGCTGACATCCCACGCAACCCAAGTCAGAAGCTCATTTTTTAATAAAAGGGGGACCTGCAGGGTCCTGGCCCCCATTTTGGGTAACTGTTGCCTTGCTTGCGGACCTTGACCTTGATATCCTCCCAATGCTAATTCCCTGCCAGGTTCCACCCTCCTGAATGCTTAAGGGAAGTTCCTTGTCTGTGTATCCTGAATAATGGGTGTTAACAGCTTAGATGCAAGATTGTAAAACATCAGTAGTGAACTTCTGACCTCCAGGGTCCTCCCATTATGCTGTAAGCCTATATTTAAGACCTCCTACCCCCTTCAAGAAATGACATTTGACATTTAAAATTATATATATAATATATATATATATATATATATATATGAATGAATACTGTGAATATAATCTATGAATACCACAAATGTGATTAATATCATGAGTGTAATTTAATAAATAAATAAATAAGTAAATAAGAAACCCAGTCTCAAAAAAACAAAGACAATAAAAGAAGAGGGTATTAGGTCCCATTGTACAAGTTATAGATGGTTGTGAGCTGACGTGTGGGTGCTGGGAATTGAACTCAGGACCTCTGGAAGAGTCTCCAAGGCTCTTAATCACCAAGACATCTCTTCAGCCTCCATGTTGACTTTGAACTCACAGTAATCCTCCTCCCTCAGTCTACCTAGTACTAGGACTACATGTATGTGCTACCAGGCTTAACTCATATTCTTTTAATCATTTAATAATGAGCTAATATTATATATATATATATATATATATATATATATATATATATATATATATATATATTTAAAAGATTTATTATATATACAGTGTTCTGCCTGCATATATGCCTGCATGCCAGAAGAGGGCACTAGATCTCATTACAGATGGTTGTGAGCCACCATGTGGTTCCTGAGAATTGAACTCAGGACCTCTGGAAGAGCAGCCAGTGCTCTTAACCACTGAGCCATCTCTCTAGCCCCCTAATATTATATAATAAAATCTATTAAATTTTAAGACATATAGGAACTATGGATAAATCTCAAATATTTTTCAAGGAACCCATTGCAACAGATTGTACTTTCCAAAAATGGCTGCACCTATTTAGTCTCTCTATGCTTTTTTTTTTAAACCTTTAAAAAGAAATGTTTTATTAGGAACCAGCAGTTAAAAGTGCTTTTTAAAGCTTTTGCACAGGACCTGGATTCAATATCCAGAACTCACATGGCATTCCACAATGGTCTAGTAACTCCAGTTCTAGGGTTTCTGATGCCCTCTGCAGGCTTCTCTAAGTACTACATGCACATGGTGTACATACATACAGGCAGGCAAACATTCAAACACATTAAAAAAACAAGTCTAAAAACGTTTAAAAAAAAAAAAGAGGGCTTGGCAGTAGAGTGTTTGCCTAGTATGCCTGGGTTTAATACTTGGTACTACCAAAAGAAAAAAAAACTGTCATATTAAAATGCTAGATGATTAAAACCCCGTTATCCTGATCTGTATCCCTCCTCTTTCAGTGACACAGGATTCTTGATTGTCTTATAGGAGCTACAGTAACCATAAGACCTGTTTCAGTGATTGGCAGTCAGAAGATGGAACTTCCTCCCCAGGAAGGTGGAGCAATATGGGCTGAGTGGATAAAACTGGCATGAAGGTCAGTTTGAACTCTTTTCCCTGGGACAGCTGGAAGCACTGCCTGGTCTGCCCATGGCTGTAACCTGCTGGGCAATGAGGCTTGGAATGCACACCAAAGCACGGGGTCTACTCTCCAGCTGAATGGTTCTTAGTGCCCTCCGCTCTCTGGCAGATTCAGTACAAGCTCCTCGTGTTACTGTAGGTAGATGGCCTGATTAGCGAACTCTGTTCAGTGGAGGACAGACAAGTCATTTGTCCATCCTTAGGCTGTGTCTTTGTACACAGGAACTGTTGTTTAAGGAAGGAAACATGAATGACTTGACAATTTACAGTACTAAGGGGAAATCCCCCTAAGATGCCCAGGGCCTTATCAGAGTCCCACGTGTGTTACTAACCCTGGATTTTAGGTTTCTTTGTTTTTATTACTGAGGGTTTCTTATAGGTTTTAAGTGTTTGTTATTTGTTTAGGCAGTGTTTTGTGTAGCCCAGGCTGGCCTTGAGCTCTCTATGTAGCTGAGAATTATCTAGGTTTCCTCCTACTTCTAGCCCTGGAGTGCTGGAATTACAGGTATGAGCAGCTGCACCTATGGGTTACTGGAGATCAAACCCAGGACTTTGTGTATGCTAAGCAAACACTCTACCAACTGAGCTGAGCTGTGGATATCCCTCTGTATGCTGTGAATGTGTTGCTCTGATTTGGTTAATAAAATGCTGATTGGCCAGTAGCCAGGCAGGAAGTATAGGCGGGACAAGCATAGAGGAGAATTCTGGGAACAGGAAGCCTGAGTCAGGAGACACTGCCAGCCGCCGCCATGAGAAGCAAGATGTAAAGATGCTAGTAAACCATGAGCCATCTGGCAAGGTATAGATAGAGAGAAATGGGTTAATTTAAGATGTAAGGTCTAGCTAGCAAGAAGCCTGAGCCATTAGGCCATACAGTTCGTAATTAATATAAGCCTCTGTGTTTATTTGGGTCTGAGCAGCTACGGGCCTGGGCGGGACTGGAGAAAACTCCAGCTACAGAGCTGTGTCTCTAGACCTCTTTTTTCTACTAGCAGCTTGACACAGTACAAATTCTTATCCTAATAGTTAAATGTTTCACTGAAACTTGCCCAGTGATTGAGTAAAACCAAAACTTATTATAAGCCACAGTCATCCTAGGGTCCCCCGGCTATGTAGCCTCCCTGGTTCTGTGGGTTGCAGTCTGATTGTTCTTTGCTTTATATCTAGTATCCACTTATGAGTGAGTACATACCATGTTTGTCCTTCTGGGTTTGGGTTACCTCACTCAGGATGAGTTTTTCTAGTTCCATCCATTTGCCTGCAAATTTCATGCTGTCATTGTTTTTCTCTGCTGAGTAATACTCCATTGTGTATATGTACCACATTTTCTTAATCCATTCTTTAGTTGACAGGCATCTAGGTTGTTTCCAGGTTCTGGCTATTACAAATAGTGCTGCTATGAACATAGTTGGGCATGTATCTTTGTGGTATGATTGAGCATTCCTTAGGTATATGCCCAAGAGTGGTATGGCTGGGTCTTGAGGTAGATTGATTCCCAATTTTCTGAGAAACCACCATACTGATTTCCACAGTGGTTGTACAAGTTTGCACTCCCACCAACAGTGGAGGAGTGTTCCCTTTGCTCCACATCCTCTCCAACATAGACTGTCATTAGTGTTTTTTAATCATAGCCATTCTGACAGGTGTAAGGTGGTATCTCAGAGTCGTTTTGATTTGCATTTGAAAATTCTGTTTAGCTCTTTAGACCATTTTTTAATTGGATTGTTCAGTATTTTGATGTCTCGTTTGCTGTGGGATGGTCTGTATGTCAAATTGCTCTGATTGGACAATAAATAAAACACTGATTGGCCAGTGGCCAGGCAGGAAGTATAGGCGGAACTAAAAGAGGAGAAAAGAAAGAACAGGAAGGCGGAAGGAGTCACTGCCAGCCTCTGCCATGACAAACAGCATGTAAAGATGCTGGAAAGCCACGAGCTGCGTGGCAAGGTATAGATTTATGGAAATGGATTAATTTAAGCTATAAGAACAGTTAGCGCCGGGCGGTGGTGGCGCACGCCTTTAATCCCAGCACTCGGG